CCTTTATACTATAATAGACAAAGTGCTAGTTAATAGGTCTTTTATTGTCAGAACTACCTTCCCTCTGTAACTTGATTTGGGCCACTATTAGAGCCTCTACTTGGAGTATTATTGCTTTTTAATTTTTGACTCATGTACTTTTAACGCATTAGTTAATGTTCAGTTTTTTTAAGAAATTACAAACAGCCTTCTAGAGTGGTTATAGTCCCATTTTACAGTGCATAAGAGTTCCAATCTCTCCTGTTCCTGGGGTGAGGTGGTACCTCATTGTTGTTCTGTTGTGTACCTTAGTCTTCAAACCGACATCATCGCTCTTGAGTATTTTGGAGAGGTCCCTGACAGCAGTATGTCTTATGATTTCCTGACAGCTGATACCAAAGGTGTTGGTTGTTGATACAAACAATATTAAATCATTGCCAGCTTCAATCTTTTCTTTATCTATCAAAATGTTGACTATTGACCTGTGCTGAGGACCTTTGTTTTCTGAATGTTGAGATGTAATCTATAGCGAAGACTGTAGTCCCTGATCTCCCGAAGCAGGCATTTTATATCCTCATTTTCAGTGAACAAGGTTGCTTCATCTGCATAACGCAGGTTGTTGGTGAGTCTTCTTCCAATCCTTTTGCACATTCTTCTTCATCAAGCTCGGCGTTGCAAACTTATAGGTCTTTAAGTTCATCTTATAGACATGTCTATTGTTTGGCGAAGAGTTCAACTGTGGAGATGGGTTTTGTTCTTGGTTCAAAAGGTGACTAAATATCTCAATCTTGTTAGGTCTATCAGATGTTTTGTTCTACATTTCCCCCATATTCTGTTGAGAGCCTTCCATTCTCTTTTATAGTGGTCAGCAGTGATAGCCAGGAACCATCTAGTTTTTCCTAGTCTCTGACTTGTGGTGGATAAAGTTCTTATGGTCTGGTAGTTCTTTGAACTAATTGGTTCTGTACATCTTTTCTGTTCTTTCCTCTTTTTTGTTCTGGAATGTACATATCAGTAATTACACATTAGATGACCTCTCAAAAGCTTTAAGACCTCAGTCTTTAGCTGATGGTGATGGTTTTAAATTCATCTCAAACTTATGACTGCTTCCTTCTCTATCTTTCCTATAATTTGTCTCAGCTTAATTGCTAAAGTGTTGGGATACCAGTTAATGTGTTGAAACTAACAGATGCAGCCCTGGACATGCTCACCAGTCTAAGCTAGAAAATGTGAAAGACAGCTAGCTGCCTGGCCAGTTGACTGGAAGAGATCCATATTTGTTTGCATTTCTAAGAAAGGTGATCCAGCAGAATGTCCTACTTGGATCTATAATCAACACCCTTGGTACCAGCAGTCAGGAGATCAGGAGAAGACTGGGAAAGTCTGAAATCAGGGGCCTCCAAATTATTGAAGAACAATGAAATCAGTTTGAGGAATAAAGTGTGTCTGATTCAGGATATGGTCTTTTCAATCACTTCTTATCCAGTGCTAGCATAAAGAATGAAATCTCTGTGGTCAGCCTGTTTGGGCTTTCTATCTCTGTGCTTAAGGTTTTGTGGGGTTTTTTTTTGTTGGTTTTTTTTTTTTTGAGTTTTCATTCAATAGTTCATATACATTTTGTTTTTATAACATTAATTATAATTTTCAGTGCCATTTATTACAATGTCTCAAGTCTTCACTGTCCCTTGTCTTTCCCTTCACCCTTCCAATCTATCTTCTGCTCCCTGACCCTATACTCTCATCACTGCTAATCTTCCAGGATTGTTTCTTTGTATTAACCTTTCCTTAGCTTTCCCTCTCATCAATCAGTCGTGCATATCCTGTTCCACATTGTTAATTACAATACACACAATTACTAATCTCCATCCATTTTAAATTGTCCTTTATTTTATCTATTTTAATAAAATGTCTACCCATTCTTTCCCTAAGCTTACCTGTGTTCCTACCCCTGCCCTTGTACTTAAGTTGTTACATCTTAAAATGGGGATATTTTGTTGTTGTTGTTGTGTGTAATGGACTCATACCTGACCCTCAAGCATATTATCAGAGACAGTTAATCACACTACAGGAGATTGTCCATCCCTCTTCTGCAGAGCAGTTGGAGGATTCGAACTGCGCGCTTTTGGGATTGCAACATAATTTTCTACCCCTACTCTATCAGAGCTCCCTGGGGATAATATTAGTTTCCCTTTTTTAAGGCGATTAGACTGAAATTATATTAACATAGATTAAGTGCTTACACTTGGCTTATAATAATAAAGGGTAAACACAAGCACTTACTGTTACTATTCAAGACTTATTTTATACTATTAAAAATAAATTGTTTTTAAGAAACCAGTGTACATCACATTAGTAAAACATTTCACTCTATATCAGTACTCATTAAATATTCTCTTGGGAAAATGATTTATAGTTCACTGCTCATATAGTCTAGATTTTCTTTGAGTATTCAAATAAGCAGTTTGAGTATGAAATATAATTTAATATTTAATAGTCCATACACGTAAAGAAACTATCATATTTGTTGGTAATTATATTCCTTAACCCTTATTGTTCCTGGTTAAATACTATAGTTAAATACTATACAGCCTTTAAGGAGCTGTGGTGGCACAGTGCAGTATATGTTATCCTACTAATCAAAAGATCCATGGTTTAAGTCCACTAACTGCTCTTTTGGAGAAAGATAGACAGTCTCCGCCATAAAGATTTACTGTCCAGAGAATCCTAGAGAGCTGCTGTGATTAGAATTGATTTGCTAATCGTGAATATGCTTTAGAGTTGTCCTCTAAACCTCAGGGATGAGTCATTATATCTTCATTTCTAAAGGGATCTGTAGTATCGTACTTTGACCTCAGTGCCAAACAGTTACTAAAATGTCCAGTTCAGAACCTATTGATTATTCTAAAATGAGTAAATTGTACTGAGTCTGTTTTTATCCATATCTTCTTCTTATAATTCTTAAATTTAAGCATCCAATTTGGAAATGTGTTGAATTTGCTAGTCCTCTTAGTTTATTCTTTTTCAAAATTCTTTGGAATTTTTAACACTTTTTTATAACATTCCCTAAGGTATTCCCATCTGTCAGCAGCACTTAATTTGGAATAACATGGAACTTGAAGATGATTATTGCTTGAATGATTACAAGTGAGTGTTATTTAATAATAGATTCAATGCAATACAATTCAGAATCCTTGGATCATGTCTCTTCTTCTAATTAGTTTATTAGTTCCAATCCCTTGTTTTGAACATAAATTCAGAACTTTTAAGATTTAAATAACTTATTTTCTTATATTTTATATTTAATATTTCTTATATCTTCTTATATCTACCTTATTTTCTTCTATTTTATTTTTCCTTTTCATTTTATCGTGCTAGGATAAGTAATTGTATACAACCATTATTGTAGAATGAGTATAAGGATCCATAAGGGGTGGGAGAGTTTGGACGCAGAGAGATGAAGGTGTGCAGAGAGGGGGGATTAATCATGGGGTTGTACAATTTCATGGGTGGGGGGAGTGAGGGAAACTAAAAGAATCTGTTCTTGAAAACAATGTATTCGAATTTTGTAAATAAACTAGTAGGAAATAAATAAATAAACAATTTTTTAAAAAAGATGTTTGTTAGATCTTGTAATTCTTGTCTTCTTGCTTTATCTTCTTTGGATATTGATTTGTTCCCACTTTGCAAATTCTTTTTTTCCTTTAAATTTTCACAAAAAGTAGAAAAGTGAATTGCTGTCTACCAATTCTTATATTTTTCATACCACTCCCTGATTCTAAGTAACAGTATATGTATCAAGTGATTGCAAATATAATAACAGCCCTCTTCTTTTTCTCCATTTTCTTACTTAATGAATAATTCTGTATTTAAGGAAAGAGCAAAGAGTTGAAGAGAAAATGTAGAATAGCTGGAAGAGTCCAGGGAATCAAGAAACTATAGATATGGCTATACCTTTTTCTAACATTTTGGATCTTAGGCAAGATTCTTTTCTGGGACTTTTTTTTCCTTGCATGGGAAATTATCACAAAAGTCTGTTTCAGTACTTTTGTTTTGGAATTCTATGTGAAATACAAGGCTCTTAAGAACTTTTTCACTACTTCTAGAGAAAATCATTAGCATTGCATTTATCGCTTTTTTATGTTTTAGAGGGCAGACACTATGCCTGATAAACCAGTTTATTATTCTATGTATATTTGACACTGAATGTATTTTTGCAATTATCATTTATTTTTGTGCTGTCCACAGCATTTCAGAAGGTTGTACCTTGAAGTTGGTATTGGCTATGCGTGGTGGACCTATAAACACTAGAAGAGGTAGGCATACATTAAGACCATATATGTATAATATATATTCAAGATATTTCACACTGGTAATCTTCAAGTCAAAAAGCATTGTTATAAGATATTAGTCAAGACCTTCCAAAAAATCCCATCATCCCTGATTCAATCCAGGAGAGTTTAAAAATAAGCCTCATTAGGACAAGGAATGGAAATGGAATGGCATAATATAAATATTATTCTCACATTTAGGTTTATACCAGTTTTGTTATTTATTTGGCCCACTAAATCTTCAGATTCTGGAATCTTGGTTACTATGTAAAATTCTAAAAATGGATGTTGGTTTATGATGCATGTGAGTGCAACAGATAATATTGCATCCCTGTTTCATCTGTTTTCAGAATATGAGTACTCTCTGGGAATCAATTCAACACATATATATTGAGCTTCTACTACATTACTTGATATAATGTTTCAGATACAATAAGCATGTTACATAAATTCTCTGTTTATATGATGCTGACTTTAATAAACATTCAAAGAAATAATATCATTTCAGATATTTATAAGTGCTGTAGAGGAAAATAAGTAATAGTGTTATTTAAAAGTAGGTGAGTAGAAAGGTAACTGTGGAAGGGCTCTCAAAGAAGACACATAAACAGACAAGTCATTAACAAATAAGGCTGTAATCATGAGCTAAGCCTGGAGCATTCATATTGCTCTAAACTTCAGATATATAACATGATTCCAAGACAAACATAAGAATCCTTAGTCAGTGTAGATCCTGCTCAGTGAGTCTTATTTTGGAGAAGGACTTTAGATTTGCTTGATCTTTCTCTAGCAGAAAAGTTTAAGTTTAAATATTGCTAGCTTAAGTCCTCAAGTGAAATTCTATTTCTATACAATTTTTATTAAAATAATATAAATACCTTTTTCCTAGATAATTTGAGAATTTCATGAGATGCATTGAAATGGTTTGAAAAGGTTAGAAAAAAATTAAAAAATGATATAGAGGTGATAAACGTAGCACTCTGCATATGAAGGACTTACTATTACTTTAGTTTTAAAAATTTTCCTACATAAAATGTTTATTGTTAATAACTCTGAGTTTAATATGTTTTTGTTGTTGTTAGATGTCAAGACATCATCAAGTCAACTACAACTCCTAATGACCCTCTGAAAACCTTCTATACCTTGTCCGTCATCCTCACAATCTCTAATATGCTTCAGCCTGTTAACAGTCACTCTGTCAATCATTCTTGTTGAGGGTCTTCAGCCCTGCATATTTCCCAGCATGATTTTTTTTAAGGACTGACCCCCCCACCGAAAACATACCTAAAGTATGTTAGACAAAGTTTTACCATCCTTGCCTCTAAGGAGCATCCTGGCTGCACTTTATCCAAGACAGTACATGTTTGTTCTTTTGGCAGTCCATGTGGTGACTGTTAAGTACTCATCTCCAATACCACACTTCAAAGGCATCAGTTCTTTTTCTGCCAACTCTCTTCATTGTCCAACTTTCAGATGCATAGGAAGTAATAAAAAAGGCCATGACTTGGATCAGGTACACTTTAATCTGCAAACTGGCAGTTTCTCTTTAGAACTTTGAAGAGATTCTTTTTTTTTTAAAGACTTTTTTAATTCTTTTTTTAAAAATTAATTTCAATGAACATCTACAGAGATTTTGGATTTCCATTCACTCGTTGTTGCACTTTTATCCCCGCCCACCCCACCCCCACCACCAGCTTGCCCCTCTCCTTGAAAAGAAAAAGAAAAACTCCTTCATTGGTACACAGTCCCTCACCCCACACAGCCCCACCCCCACCCCCACCCCGAGTATACTCCACTCTGCAACCCTCATTACGGACTCTGATAATAATCATAATGCCCTAAAATATGTTACTTTTAAACTATTCTCTCCCTCATCGGCTTCAGTGCAGTAGACCTAATTTATCCAGTTTTTCTCAGTCCTACACCCACCCCGATGTCAGCCCCATTCTACAACAGGGGCACCATATAGTATTTGTCCTTTTGTGACTGAGATATTTCACTCAGCATAATGTCCTCCAGGGTGACCCATTTTGAATAATATTGAATGAGTTCCTTGTTTTTCAAAACAGCATAGTATTCCACTGTGTGAATATACCACAGCTTCTCTATCCATTAGTTTGTTGATGGGCACTTAGGTTGTTTCCAATTCTTTGCTATTGTGAACAAAGCCGCAATATACATGGGTGTGCATATATCTGCTTGGATGTCATTTATGGTCTAGGGTATATTCCCAGGAGTGGAATACACCCTAAAGAAAAGAACTTTGAAAGATTCTTAAAAGAACTTTGGAGAGATTCTTAAAAGCAGTTTCCCCCAGTGCAACCTATGGTTTGATTTGTTGACTGCTGTTACCATGGGTGTTGATTGTGGATCCAAATAAAATTAAATCCTTGAGAGGTTCAATCTTTTATCTATATATCATGATCCAGTGGTAGGGATTTTATTTTCTTGATGCTGAGATATACCGCATATTGAAGGCTGTAAGAGGAGCAGATGTGATGTGGGTATGGCTGAGTCTGACATTTACCCACTTCATAAAGGGGATTTTCCCCCATCATTACAGCCATGTTGTTTTTATGTACTGTTGAGCAGTTTGCAACTCATAGTGACCCTATGTACAATAGCTCTGAACCCTGTTTTCTCTGGAGCCAATTTAATTGTCTCCAACACACAAATTACCCCATCTCATCCGGGGTCGTCTTCTCTTGAACTGACCCTCCACCCTGCCAAGCATGATAGCCTTCTCCAATGGTCCCTCCTGGCAACATGTCCAAAGTAAGTCAGACAGAGCTTCAGAATCCTTACCTCTAAGGAGCAGCCTGATTTCATCCTCTCCACGATGAACCTGTTTGTTCTCTTAGCAATCCATGGTATATTCAATACTCTTCTCTAGCACCACAACTGAAAGGCATTGATACGTCTTCTGTCATCCTTAATATTATCTAGTGCTCGTATGCATAACAAGTAATTGCAAGGACCATGGCCTGGATCAGGTGCACCTTAATCTCTAGACTGGTGTCATTGCCCTTTAGTACTCTGGAGAGGTCCCTGACAGCAGATTTTCCCAGTGCAATTTATCTTTTTATTTCCTGGCTGCTGGTACCAAGAGTGTTGATTATGGAACCAAGCAAACTGCAGCTGTTAACAATCACAGTCTCTTCTCAATCTATCATGATGCTGCCAATTGGCTCAAAGGTGAGAATCTTTGTTTTTTTGATGTTGAACTTGAATCCATATTGAAGGCTGCAGTCCTTGACCTTCTGCAGAAAAAAAATACAGCTACATGGTTAGACATGCCATCTTCATGTTTCTGCACCTATTTCTAATGATCATTGGATTGTTTTGATTTTGATTCACAGAACTTACAGTTATGGATGGAGTTTATTAGGGAAATAGGTTGGAGAGTGAAGGAGACAAAGATTATCACCCCATGCAAATATAGGTTTAGTCCAGGAATCATAAACCAGATTAACAAGGCATAGTTCTCCAAATTGATGAAAGTACAGGTTCAATTCAGCAGCACAAATGCAAGAAGCCCTGAAAAGTTTGCCTCACAGCAGTTACAAGTCAGCTTCCCCTTCAATCGTCTAGTAAGGAAAACCTTTAGCTGTGATCTTTTTCTCAGAGTTCCTCTGGTTACACCTTGCCACAGTCTTTTCACAACAATGCTGGAGTCTCTTCACTCTCCACCACCATCACCAGGGTACCTCATAGTGTGGAATGCACTCTCTTACATCGGTCCCACAGTTGTGGATGTTTTCTAAGACTATGTGTCTGTAGTTAAGGTAGCAGAAGACCAGCAGGGGAGGGTTTTTCTCTAAAGGCTCTAGTCTTTGCTCTTCAACAGTAAGTGGTTCAGGTCTTCTTCATTTTCTGTAAACAAAGTTGTGTAATCTACATGACACAGGTTGTTGTTGTTGTTGAATCTTCCTCCAATCACAATGCCACATTGTTCATATAATTTACCTTCTCAAATTATTTGTTCAGCATACAAATGAAATAGATATGGCAAAAGGAGGCAACCTTGACACACGCGTTTCCTGATTTTAAACACTTCTGTGCTCCCTTGTTCTGTTCAGACAGCTGCTTCTTAGTCTATGAATAGATTTATTTAGCCTGAACACAATTAAGTGTTCTGAGATTTGCCTTCTTCTCAATGTTAGCCATAGTTTTTTATAATCCACAGTCAAATGTCTTTACATAACAAACTAAACACAAGTAAACATTTTTCTCATATTCTCTACTTCAACCAAGATTCTGAATCCAACTTGACTTCCTGGTAATTCCCTGTCAATGTACTGTTCCAAATTTTTTTTAGTATTCTTCAGCAAGATTTTACTTGCAAGTGATATTAATGATATTATTTAAAAATTTCCACAGTCTGTTTGGGGAATAGAGATGAATATAGATCTCTTCAAGTGAGTAGGCCAGGTAGCTGCCTTCCATAATTGTTGGCAGAGACTTGTAAGCACAAGCACAGTTGTGTCTGTTTCCCAAAACACCCCCACGACACTCTATCATTTCTTCTATTATTGCTTTTTATTCTTGATCATATGCTGTGTGTGGTAATATTTTATTGGATCAATTATTTTTGGTACAGTGACTGTGTATTCCCTCTATCTTGTTTTGATGCCTCCAGAAAACAAACTAAAAAAACTTCCTTCAAGAGTTTGGCCATAGGATTCTTCAGTGTTGCAAATCCAGGCTTAAATTTTTCTTTAATTCTTTCAGCTTGGGAAATACTGCGTGTGTTCTTCCCTTTTGGTAATCTAAGCCCAGATCTTTCATTAAACCATTTTGCTTTGTCTTCTCAAGCTGCCCTTGGAAATCTTTTGTTTCTGTCTTTTACTTCAGCATTTCTTTCCTTTGTTGGGTGGCCTAGTGGCAAGAAGCTGCATTGCAGTCCTGAAGACATGCAGTGTGAGACTACTAGCTGCTCCATGGGAGAAAGATGGACAGTCTCCTCCCAAACAATTAACTGCCTCCGAAAACCAATGGAGGGTCAGCCATCAGTCGGTTCTGACTCAATGATATACAACAACAACAATGATCTAGTACAATTTTCAGAGTCTCTCCTCTTATGCATGTTGGTCTCTTTTTCTCTACTATCATTGTAGTGACCTTTTGTTTCATGGATAAAATCTGTAAATGTTTACATAAAATTATATTAGAGAGTGATTAATGACATAAAAAATCTATTACATTCTGAAAGTTTGTTGGTTGTGAATAAATACTATCTTTATACCAGAATACTTAATGAAAAATACTTAATTTTCTGAGAAGGACTAGAATGACCTTATGTGTTCATGAGAAGGAGCATAACTACACAGATGTTATATATAAGATGTACATATGAATGCTTTTTAAACATGGAGGGGAAAGGCATTCCATCCTCTAATTGTTGAAACTTGTAACTATAATATTTTTCTTAAAACTTTGTGTTGGCTTGTTAATTGTACCATCATCAGCTACAACTTACCTTTATAAAATAATCTTCTTTTATTGCTTTATATTAGGATTTTAATAATTATGCCCTTATTAAATTAACTTTTCAATTAAAACATAGCCAAAAGAGAAAAGATATACTCAAATAAAAGTTTTCTCCATATTGTGTTTGAGAAACTACATTTTAAATTTAATTTCTAATTTCTATTTAGTATTATTTTAAAAATATGGCTTGTTGTTGTTGTTAGGTGTCATCGAGTCAAGCACTACTCATAGCGACCCTATGAACAGAAGATCTGAACCCTATACTGTCCTGCACCGACCTCACATTTCCTGACACGCAAGAGCCCATTGCAGCAGTTACCATGTCAATCCACCTGGTTAAGGGTCTTCCTCTCCTTTGCCAACCTTCCATCCTTCCCAATATCATGTCCCTCTCCAAGGAATAGTGCCTCCTAGCAATATGTCCAAAGGATGTGAGGTGAAGCCTCATCATTCTTGACTCTCAAAAGCAACTGCACCCTGTCCAAGAGATATATGTTCATTCTCTTGGCCATGCATGGAATGTTCAGTGCTTTTCTTTACACACAGCTCAAAGGCATCAATTCTTTTTCTGTCATCCTTATTCATTGTCCAGGTCTTGGATGCATAGCTAGTAATCGGATAGACCGAGGCCTGAATCAAATGCACCTTAGTCCTCAAACTGACATCAATAGTCCTCAATAATTTTGAAAGGTCCCTAACTGCAGATTTTCCCAGTGCACTCTGTCTCCTTATTTCCTGATTGCTTGTACCAAGGGTGTTAATTGTGGATCCAACCAAGATGAAGCTGTTGACACTACCTATTGGTCCAGTGGTAAGAATCTTTGTTTTCTTGATATTGAGACACAATCCATACTGAAGCCTACATTCTTTTATTTTCTGCAACAAGTGCTTCAAGTCCTCCTTACTTTTAGCAAGTAAGGTTGTGTCATCTGCATAACACAGGTTATTGATGATTCTCCCTCCAATCCTGATGCCACACTGCTCTATATAGAGTCTAGCTTCCCAGATAATTTGCTCAGCACATAGATTGAGCAGGTATGGAGCTAGAATACAACCCTGACTCACTTCCTTCCCAGTTCCAAATCATGCAGTGCTTCCCTCCTCCATTTGCACAACAGCCTCCTGATCCAGGTTGCATGAGCACAATCAAGTGCTCTGGGATTCCCATTCTTCTCAATGTCAGCTAAAACTTGTCATGGACCTTTGCCTAATCAATAAAGCACAAATAGACATTCTTTTGGTATTTCTTACTTTCAGCCAGTATCTCTCTGACATCAGCAATGATATCCCTGGCATTTTTATGATGTTTTAATAATTCATATTTTACTTTTAATCTTTTTTATGAAGCAGTCACTATGAAACTAACATACATATTAGTTTTCTTTCAAAAACTAAATTTTGACCTAAAATTTGTAAGGCAGTGGTGTTTTTGGTAATAAAATAGAAATCATTTTGCTGATGGCAAAGTTGTAAATATTTTTTTTCAACCCTGAAACTCCCCAAGTGACTCACTTTTTTTGGTTTAGGAAGGCTTTTGTGCTCCTTTAGAAAAATCCCTTCTTCTAGCAGTAACAATAGCTGATACACTGCTATGAAAGTTCTTATTTACTTTTTTTCATTAATTTAATGTGGAAAAAATACTGACACTTTTGGCATTAGTGAGCTGAGATAGACTGGCTTTGGCCATTTTGAATCAATCACATGATCTACTATTCTAGAAATGATAAGTTTAAGAAGAATGGTATGGTTGTCATCATCAAAAAGAGCATTTCAGGATCTATCATGAAATATAATGCTCAAAGAGATAGAATTCTCTCCATACACATATATGGAAATTTTGTTAATGTAACTATTATTCAAATATACTCACCAACCCTGAAAGGCAAAGATGAAGAAATTGAGGCTTTCTACCAAATTTTGCAATCTGAACAATATCATTAATGTCACATGCAAATAAAATCTTACTGAAGATTACTAAAAAAATGGTGGGAAGAGTAGATTGATAGGGAATTGTCAAAGATTCAATCTGGATTCAGAAGAGGCTTTGACACCAATGATATCATTGCTGATTTGGTCAAATGGATCTTGGCTGAAAACTGAGAACATCAGAAAAGTGTTTCCAAAAAAAAAAAGAAAAGTGTTTCCTTGTGTTATTTGATTGTGCAAAGACATTTGACTGTGTGGATCATAACAAATTATGGACTAAGAGGCAATTGTCTAAACAGAACAAGGAAACAATGCATGGTTTAAAATAAAAAAGTGTGTCCAATTTGTGCCTTGTATATACATATTCAGTCTGTATAAACAATGCATGGTTTAAAATAAAAAAGTGTGTCCAATTTGTGCCTTGTATATACATATTCAGTCTGTATGCTGAGCAAATAATTCAGGAAACTGGACTATATGAAGAAGAATGTTACATCAAGGAAGACTCAATAGCAACAACTTGTATTATGTAGATGACACAACGTTGCTTGCAAAAAAGAAAGAAGACTTGAACCACTTACTGCAGAAGCGTAAACTCTATAGCCTTCAATAGGAATTATATCTCAGCACCAAGAAAATAAAATCCTTACCACTGGACCACTGATAGCATCATGATAGATGGATCACAGATTGAAGTTGTCAATAATTTCATTTTACTTGGATCCACAAACAACATCCTTGATAGCAGCAGTGAAGGATGAAAGACTTGTTTAATTTGGGAATCTGCTGTCAAGGCCCTGTCCAGACTTTAAAGAGCAAGAACATTGGCTTAAATGAAATAATTTTCTTTTACTTTACAATTAAAAGAATGGACTGGAGGGGAGGGGTGGGCAGGGATAAAAGTGCAACAATGAATGAATGGAAATACAAAATCTCTGAATTTTCATTAACATTAATAATAATAAATAAAAAAATAAAGAGCAAGGTGCCCTTGATTCAAGTCATGGTATTTTCAATTGTTTCCTATGCATCTGAAAGTTGGATAATGAATAAGGAAGACTGAAGTAGAAGCAATGCCTTTGAATTGTGTGTTGATGAAGAGTATAAAATATTACATGGAATATTAAAAAAACCAAATGTGTCTTGAAGGAAGTGTAACCAGAATTTTGCTTAGAAGCAACAGTAGTGAATTTTCATTTAAGTTATTTTGGGCATATTTTCAGGAGGAAACTATCCTTGGAGAGACACACCATACTGGGGCAGGTGAGCAAATCAGTATAACAGCAGAGCCTTAATGAGATTAATTGACACAGTGACTACCAGGAGTTTGAGCAAATCCAATATTGTGTGGATGGTAAAACATAGGACAAGGTTAAGCTCTCTTGTTCATAGGGTTACCATGAGTCAATTGAATAGCACCAATCAGAACCAATGTAGGAAGCAAGATGGTTTACAAAATTAATTATAGATTTAATATATGTGTTATATTATTGGTTGTATATTTATATTATATATAAGGTCAATATTATCATAGAAGCAGCATATATAAAAATATTTTGGCACAAATTATCATGTATTTTGTTAAGTTCTGTCATTGGCTATAACAACGTAATAGTCCATTTCATTTCATTCTTTTCATATTAGTATAATACAAAAATTTATTTCAAGAATTTTGAAAAATATCATATATATACTGCACAAGATTGCTCAAAATCAATACATAATATCCTAGCACTGTATGAAGATGTATAAAACAATATACATTGAAAACTTGTTTGTCACTTTTGTCATTGTAGTTCCTATGGAAGATCCACTTAGGGAGATGGCTGAGTATATGGATTCCAGTCGAGATGAGGTCTGGGAGAAGGCCTCTTGCAACAAACAAGTCACATTTTTGGTATACCGAGAAGGAGACCAGTTGAATTTCTTTCGAGTCGTAGATAGGGGAGATGGCACTTTAACACCATTATCTGAATCTTTAAGGTAAATATATGTCATTTACATATCTTATTTAGAAAAAAAGCATCATATGTGAGTCTATTAACCTTTATTATTTCCTTTTATTAAAATAAACTTAATTTATTCACAAAACTAAATTTTATGCTTCCTCTTCCCTGGGTATAGAATGCTAACATTTTCATATTACTGATGTTGTTGTTGTTGTTGTTATGTGCCGTCGAGTCGTTTGCGACTCATAGCGACCCTATGTACAACAGCCCTAAACCCTGCTCTATCCTGTGCCAATCATGTTGCCTCTGACACACCCATCCCGATTACCCCAGTCACTGAATCAATACAATCCCCTCCTGCGCTGTCCCTCTACTCTACCCAGCATGATGTCCCTCTCCAAAGACCTGTCTCTTCTTACATGTCCAAAGTATGTCAGACGAAGCCCCAGTATCCTTGCCTCCAAGGAGTAGCCTGGTTTAACCCTCTCTAGGATGAATCTGTTTGTTTTCTTGGCAGTACATGGTACATTCAATACTCTTCTCCAGCACCACAGCTCAAAGGCATCAATTCTCCAGTCCTCCCTAGTCATTGTCCAGCTCTCTGATGCATAACAAGTGATTGCAAAGACCATGGCCTGTATCAGGTGCACCTTCGTCTCCAGAGAGACACCGTTGCTCTTGAGTACTTTTAGAGAGGTCCCTAACAGCAGACTTTCCCATCGCAATACGTTTTTTGATTTCCTGGCTGCTGGTGCCAAGAGTGTTGACTGTGGAGCTGAGCAAACTGAAGCTGTGGACAATCTCAATCTCTTCGCCATCCATCCTAATGCTACCAATTGGTCCAGTGGTGATAGTTGGAGAATAATTTTTAAAATTGAAATTTCTTTATAGAGTAGCATTTTTTCTACTTATATAAATTATTTTTTTAAAAGTTTTTTCCTGATACTTTATGAAATGATAGAATGTTTAGTAGATTACAGAGTTTTGTTACTATATAGTTTCCAGAGCCCTGGTGTTATAAAATGCTATGCGTTGAGGGGATAACTATATATTAGCATTTGAAATCCACTAGCTGCTCCACAGGAGAAAGATGAGATTTTACAGGTGTGCACCTTTAAGACTTACAGCCTCAGACCCAATGAATGATTGCCATAAATGAAAATCAATTCCACATCAGTGGAGCCTGCTGATATCATGCTTTACTTGGTAGACTGTTAACGAAAACATCAGAGGTTTGGAGTTCTGACTGCTCCAAGCGAGATGGGCTGCATGTACCTTTTCTGTCCATGAAGATTTGTAACTTTGGAAACCTACCAAAGATTTCCATGAGTCTGAATCAACTATAAAATTGTTGTTACGTGCTGTCAATTGCCTGCAACTCATAGCAACCCTTTGTACAACAGCTCTGAAGCCTACCCTGTCCGGAACCAGTCTCACTGACTCTGACACACTTATCCCCATTGCCCTGGTTACTGTATCAGTCTATCTCATCTGGAGTTTTTCCTCTCCTGCACTGTCTCTCCACCCTTCTGAGCATGATGTTTCTCCAAGGACTGGTCTCTCCTGACCACATGTCCAAAGTATGTGAGATGGAGTTTCAAAATCCTGACCTCCAAGGACAAACTTGGTTTCATCCTCTCCAAAACAGACTTGCTTGTTTTCTTGGCAGTCCATGACTCTTCTCCAGCATCACAATTCAAAGGCATCAATTCTTCTTCTATCATCCTTATTCATTGGCCAGTTCTCTGATGTTATTGTTGTTGTTATATGCCGTTGAGTCGTTTGTGACTCATAGCGACCCTATCTATGTACAACAGCCCTAAACCCTGCTCTATCCTGTGTCAATCGCATTGCCTCTGACACACCAATCCCAATTACCCCAGTCACTGAATCAATCCACCTCATAGAGCATCTCTCCCTCCTGCGCTGTCCCTCCACCCTACCAAGCATGATGTCCCTCTCCAACGACCTGTCTCTCCTTACAACATGTCTAGAGTATGTCAGACGAAGCCCCAGAATCCTTGCCTCCAAGGAGTAGCCTGGTTTAACTCTCTCCAGGATGAATCTGTTTCTTTTCTTGGCAGTCCATTCAATACTCTTCTCCAGCACCACAGCCCAAAGGCATCAATTCTCCTTCTGTCTCCCCTAGTCATTGTCCAACTCTCTGATGCATAACAAGTAATTGCAAAGACCATGACCTGTATCAGGTGCACCTTCGTCTCCAGAGAGACACCGTTGCTCTTGAGTACTTTAGAGAGGTCCCTAACAGCAACCTTTCCAATTGCAATAATTTTTTTTTATTATTTCCTGGCTGCTGGTGCCAAGAGTGTTGACCGTGGAGTCAAGCAAACTGAAGCTGTAAACAATCTCAATCTCTTCTCCATCCATCCTGATGCTACCGATTGTTCCAGTGGTTAGAATCTTTGTCTTCTTGGTATCGAGCCTCAGTCCATATTGAAGGCTGCAGTTCTTGACCCTCTGCAGTAAGTGCATGAGGTCCTCCTCAGTTTCAGTGAGCAGGATTGTGTCATCTGCATAACGCAGATTGTTGATAGATCGTCCACCAATCCTAATACCACGCTTCTCCCCATAGAGCCCAACCTCTCGGATAATCTG